GGGAAACAACGTGCATATGGCGCGCGCGGGGGCAGAGAGAGAGAGAGAGAGAGAGAGAGAGAGAGAGAGAGAGAGAGAGAGAGAGAGAGAGAGAGAGAGTACACTGCAGTGCGAAATGGCGAGCTGAAGTCTAGCGCTGGTCACGTGGAAGAGTAGCGGCTGCTGTGCACAGAAACGAAATCTCGACATGAAATGAGGAACACGCCCGACCCCTCTCCACTTCCGAACGCTTTTCCAGATCCCAACGCGTTCCATCGACACTCGCTGGGACCACAGTGCCATTCAACACTGCTGAACGGGATTTCCGAAGGAACCGGGCTTGTTTGTAGAAGGGCAAAGATGGGCATATTCCTCCTCCTCCTCCTCTTCCTCCTTCCCCATCGCCATATTCCTCCTCCTCCTACACCTCCTTCCCCATCGCGATCTTTTTCCTCCTCCTCTTCCTCCTTCCCCATCACGATCTTTTTCCTCCTCCTCTCCTCCGCCTCCTCCTCCTCCTCCTACTCCACTTCCTCCTTCCCCATCGCCATCTTCTTCCTCCTCGTCCTCCTCCCCTTCCTCCTTCCCCATCGCCATCTTCTTCCTCCTCCTCTTCCTCCTTCCCCATCGCCATCTTCTTCCTCCTCCTCTTCCTCCTTCCCTATCGCAATCTTTTAACTCTATCTCTCCTCCTCCTCCTCCTCCTCTTCCTCCTTCCCCATCGCCATATTCTTCCTCCTCCTACACCTTCCCCATCGCGATCTTTTTCGTCCTCCTCTTCCTCCTTCCCCATCGTGATTTTTTTCCTCCTCCTCTTCCTCCTTCCCCATCGCGATATTTTTCCTCCTCCTCTCCTCCTCCTTCCCCATCGCCATCTTCTTCCTCCTCCTACACCTCCTTCCCTATCGCGATCTTTTTCCTCCTCCTCTCCTCCTCCTTCTGCTCCTCTTCCTCCTTCCCCATCGCCATCTTCTTCCTCCTCCTACACCTCCTTCCCCATCGCCATCTTCTTTCATCCTCCTCCTCCTCCTTCCCCATCGCCTTACTCTTCCTCCTCCTCTTCCTCCTTCCCCATCCCGATCTTTTCCCTCCTCCTCTCCTCCTCCTCCTCCTCCTCTTCCTCCTTTCTCATCGCGATCTTTTTCCTCCTCTCCTCCTCCTCCTCCTCCTCTTCCTCCTTCCCCATCGCCATCTTCTTCCTGCTCCTACACCTCCTTCCCTATCGCGATCTTTTTCCTCCTCCTCTCCTCCTCCTCCTCCTCCTCTTCCTCCTTCCCCATCGCCATCTTCTTCCTCCTCCTCCTCCTCCTCCTTCCCCATCGCCATCTTCTTCCTCCTCCTCTTCCTCCTTCCCCATCGCCATTTCCCTCCTTCTCCTGCTGCCGTTCGTTTTTTTTTGTTTAGCGCCGTGTGCAATGAATGACCCACAAAGTCACAGCTGGAGAAAATGGAATACTCGTACCACTGCATTTATATTGCTTTTTAAAAATAATAATAATAAAATAATCAGACATCGGAATCTTTTCTGGAAAAAAAAATGTGGAGTGCATGTGTGTGTGTGTGTGTGTGTGTGTGTGTGTGTGTGTGTGTGTGTGTGTGTGTGTGTGTATGTGTATGTGTCTGTGAGCGTTGTCTTATGGCAACCGTAATGCTGGAGTCTTCGTGTGTGTGTGTGTGTGGGTGCTGTCTTATGGGAACCGTAATGCTGAACGAGCATATTGGAGCATCTCCTGGGAGTCAAAAGCCAGAGATGAAACCCAGCAGCGCGTGTCAGGATCATTGACAGCATGGCAAACTCTCTCTCTCTCTCTCTCTCTCTCTCTCTCTCTCTCTCTCTCTCTCTCTCTCTCTCTCTCTCTCTCTTTCTCTCTCTCTCTCTCTCTCTCTC